ACCATGGATTTATATGCCTCTGCTAGCTGTTCCAAGGCTATCAGGATAGAGACATGGTTGCTTCCGCAGATTTTACCATTCATACAGTTAAGATTTCCACACAGGTATTTATATGACTGTGGAATTTACCCTACCATGCATGGTATTTCTGCCTCATTATAAGTCACATGAACATTTCCGTTGGCAAACATGTGGGGCTACATAACAAATCCCACTGGTAATATATTGTATGATGAGGACCCCAGACACCCGGAAGTTTCTGGGCAGTGTGTACATGGCTGGTATAGCATATTTGGACTGTTGGAAATATATGTGTGTCCTTCCATAAGTAGAGGAATGATACCCAAAGTACAAGGTAATACCAACATAAAAAGTCTAAGAGAGTCCACCTCGCGACCAGAAGTAGGGTCTCTTAGACCCTTTTTTGGGGGCGCCTGAAGTGCAGAGTGGCTACTTCGTCTTCATGGGCTGTACTGTGTGATTCGGTGGCCAATTACTAGCCGTTCAAGTCACCGCTTCATCTTGATATTCTGCAGAGACTTGAGTCGAGTTATAAAGTCTCTGCAGACTTGGAGGCAGAAAAAAACAACGAACCTACATGTCCCATAGTCCAGAATGCCCAGGGCTCCAGGCGCCGCTTTATCCATACCCAAGCCTGCTCTCGATGCCCCGTGGTGGCAGAATCACTTCCAACCCCACCCACTTCTACCTACGAAAGCTGGGAGGCGTACATGGGCACTGGTCCCTCTGCAAAGCCGAAAATGTATTGTAATAAGTGTCTACATTTTGATACAGGCATCGAGCAGAGTAAAAACCAAAAGGAGTACGAACAAGGGGCTCGTGCTCATCTTCACAGTGTCCAGGAGATCAAAGATTATTGTAAGCACCTCTATTTCTTTGAGCATAGCTATCTACTAATAGACTGTTTTTATTAGTGTGGGCTCTCGAACCCAACTGGCGGTGGGTTCAAGGTGTGGCAGACACGACTCTGAACCACATGATTAAACATTGTCCCCATGTCACTACCGCGGACTGGGACACAGCAACCACTCTGCACAGCGTCAAGAAGAAGGGAAAGAATAATCAGAACAACTTTCAAGATGAGTATATTCCGGGTGCTGGTGAGTCTGCTTTCTACCCTTTTCTTCGACATGATTGCTAATGCTATTCTAGTTTATTCTACCTTGCCATTAGGCTGGGGATTTACAGACTATCAGCAGTCCTCAGCCACCGGTAGTGCACCACAGCTAGTCAGTGCAAGCTCTAGTACATCTATGAACACTTTGAGTATCAATACCGGTTCGCTTTCTGTCCCTCCGAGTGTGGGGAACTCTCCATCCCCGTCTGTCCTTAGTATTCAGGGCCTTCCTGCTAGCCCTGCTATTGATCTTTCGCTTCCTGCAGTACCTCACTGGCCGGCTGGTATTTCTCAGTCTCGAGGACCATTATCCCGCCGGTCTAGTCAAGCTGTTCTAGCGCCTGTAAATCCACCAGCCCCTGCATGGACTCCCGCTTTGCAGCAGGAATTCGAGCGCAGAATACTTCAGCTCACCGTCTCTGCAGGGCTTCCATTTTCTTGGGCCGATAATCCGGAGTGACAGGCATTCTATCACAAGTTTATTCCTGCTGAAAAATTACCTTCGCAGCGGACGCTCTCTCAGCGACTTTTACCTGAGGCTGTGGCTGAAGGTCGTGCATCAATACGAGCAGCCGCTCAAGGTCATGAAGCTACTCTACAGGCAGACAGCTGGACTGGACTTAATAGCCATCATCTTATTGCTTTCATGGTCACGGTAAATAATCAGGTACAGTTTCATTCATGATCATAGTTCTAAGGCTTATTAAATTACTCAGGTACATACTGTCCAAGTCGACGATGTTTCTGCAGAGCGTAAGACTGCGGATAATCTTCTCGATCAGCTGCAGAAGGTTATTGACACATTAAATAATGAATGGAAGTCTCCTGTTATTGCTGTAGTAACAGATGCGTCCGGAGAATCACGCAAAGCATGTCGATTGCTGGGAGAAAGACACCCTGAGCTCATGTTTCTCGACTGCTATGCACACCAGGTATGCTGATTTATTTATTTCTGATAGCATTAATCACTAAGAGCGCTCTAGATTAACTTAGTGGTTGGCGACTACTTTAAGGCGCTCAAGGAATCAGGATCAAGCACATTTAACTTCACAGAGCTAGCAGACGACCTGATATCTTGGCTTCAAAGTAAAACTCTAGTCCTAGCGCTGATTTGAGAGCAGCAGCTATCATCTGGTAATATAGCTTGCGCGGTTATTCACGCTGTTATTACTCGCTGGACCGCTCATTTTGTAGCCTACCGTCGACTCATTAAACTACGCCGAACATTAATGGCCATAGCGAGCACTGAGATCCTCCGGCCAGATGACAAAAAATGATCATTACAGGCAACAAGAAAGCTCGCCAAAAAGCTCTCACTATGCTCCTTCTAATACAAGATCATTCGCAGCAGTTTTGGAAGGCTATCAGACGGTAAGCATTGTATTCAAGTCCTGAAACCTAGCTAATTTACTACTGTAGAATCACAAGGCATCTCGAGCCACTTGCGATTGCAGCGAACATTACTCAGGCAACTCAGTGTCGATTATATCAAGTCCTTCTGACATTCAGGTTTCTCATGGACGACTGCCTCAATAAAATATCTGAAGGTGGCAACAACGAATGCGAAGCGATCATTGCTAGTCTTGAAGCACGCTGGGCCAAGGCGGATCAAGAACTATTCATTTCTTCAGTGATTCTGAACCCATTTTATCATACTACTCCCTTCGCAAAGATTCCTGCTCTCAACAATGCCAGTGTCCATATGCTTATTGAGCATATGTGGGAGTGCCTCTTCTCTTCTCGAGCACCACCCAAGCTCAAAAGTCAGGCTGAGGACTATTTATTTAACAGAGGGCTCTTTGCACATCTCGACACTCGAGTTGAGAGAAAGTGTGCTGTTGCTCAGGAAAATGTGAGTACACTGATTAATATTCTACACACTGACTGACAACCTTACAGGCTTACAGGGACAGCTGCCTGATCCGATCACTTTATACAGTGAGTTTTGCTTTGCTGGAGAGCCAATCCCAGCATTCATTCTGCTTGCCCGGTGATTACTCTTAGTATCTGCAAATTCAGCATCTTGCGAACAGCTTTTCAGTATATTTGGGACTACTCTAACAAAGCTAAGGTCGCGACTAGGTACTGGCACGCTTCAGGCTCTTGCAGAGCTGAAGATGATGATCAGAGATGAGCACACGCGCTCTGCTGAAAGTCGGAAGCACATGATTCAGTTGATGCAAGATCGGACACGCAAAAATATCATTCCTGCTGCTGAAACCCTTCCTATTCCTTTGAGCACGTCCGAAGATCTTCAGGACCTCATGCTCGGTGCTCAGAACGACCTTAATGCCTGCTTTTATGGCCCAGAACTGACCAAAGACCCTAGTGCCACTGACTCTTCTGTAGATCAATTCCATACCCTTATTCAGCAGCATATACACCTCTCAGATGAAGATGAACTCGACGATGAGCCCATTCGTAATGTATCCATCATTGGGATGCAGATTCCGCTTCGAAACCTCTTCAACTTCGCCAACAAGAGCTGGTCCAATCTTTACAAGCAGTCAGCCCGCCAGAACTTCGAAGAAGAGATGTCCATGTATGAATTATTAGAATTAGACTCAATTCCTAAGCAAGACGAGTCGGGATCGGACGGTAACATTGAGATCTCACTAGATGATACTACTCAGGAGGTTCTATTACATACTACATAGTTTTTCTACGGTACAGATGAACGATGTATGCTATCTATGTTAATTTGATCTACGAGCCCCTGACTTCCCCCGAGATCTCCGCACGCGTCCGGATCACCAGTTGCTCTCATAACCGAGACGCGACTAGATGCGTCAGTCATGGTCAGAAAATGACCAACATCTGGTCATCGTGTTGGTCACCATCGGTCACTGACCGACACGTGACTTGGCATTCACTGCCTCAAGCAACTACCAGGGTATAGTGGGATGAGGGAAGTTGGGGTGAGCACAAGTTGCCAACAACAGTGCATACTTAGACATCAATCCCAATGATGATGACATCTGCGAGAGCACACATCTTATTTCTACTTTTGCTGAAAATCTTGATTAGCCACATAATAAATATACATTTGAACACACAGATCACATTTTTACGGTTTTGTGAACAGCAGGATTAATGTGAGGCTGCAGAAGTGATGCACATGCACGCTGCAACTCAGATCTCAGCATATACCACTCCTGACCCAATGTTTGTCATATCTCAACAATCTCAACTCTTGCAAGCCAACCCAGCCAACCCATGCACTCTGTCATCCATTCTCAAATGGATGCATACCCAAAATCTGCCCCCCAAGAATGTCAACATTCAATGCAAATGTTATCACCGCTGCGTTGGTTTTGCAGAGAAGTATCATGGTGCCAGCAACATCAGTCCACATTCCAACCTTCACTGTCTGTTCTGTACAAGTCCGAGTGACAGATATGCCATCTGGTCAGACTTTGCTTTGGACATGAACAACTCCGTACATGCATTCTGACGTTGTTGCCACCTCCTTATCTGACAATTTACAGTTTTCTGCCATATCACGTATGACTGACAGGCTCTTTGCCACCTTCGCTGTCCACCCAGACTGGGACACATCTATAACCTTCAATCCATCATGTATCAATGTCAGCACCTTCACCAGCTATCATACAGAACTCAAGCCAAACATCCAGAATGTCGTCAAGCAGCTGAAGGATACCTTTTGCAAGAAGCTTGCCCAGGAGCACAACAAGTCTTACGGTCAACAGCTTTGTTCAGTCACACCTGGTCTTGGGTACGTCATTGTTGATGGCAACACTTACATGTCCAAGTTATCTACTGTCCCCTCTGCACCCTCATCATTGCAACTGGCACCCTCCACCTTTACTTCAAACCCTTCTCTGGCTCCACCATCCCTTTCTGCTCCACCACATCTTGTTATGCCCTCCCCTATCCATGGCAACCAAGCTTCCACCACATTCACCATTCTGTCATTGGTATCAAGCCTTTTGACTTCAACATCTACATCCCATGGCAAGAGAGCACCCCCTCGTGTAGCCATCTTGACTTCCTCTGCTTCCCGCATCCTGGGGTGACTGACATTGTGGCCCACCACAACCTCCTTGCAAGCCAAGCCCTCTTTGTCACATGGTGCAGGACATGACCCCTAAGGATGTCCAGTCAGCGGATGGGTCAAAACCCCAAGGATGTCAGGGCAGCGGTGACTGGCGGTTGACCGACCATGTCCTGGTGGCCGCCTCACTGTAGGGGTTGGGTGACTGGTAGGGGATGCTCCGGCCCATACCCCAGGTGTGTGTCAGGGCAGCCGCCTGCCTTGTGCATTTAGAATGTCAATCATAGTCCAGTGTTTTTAGCTATAATGCTCTGGTTATTGCAGCTACAGTGCTCCAGTTATTGGAGGTATAATGGTCCGAGTATTGCAGGTACAAATACAATGCTCCAGCCATTGCAGGCATAATGCTCTGGTTATTTTAGCCACAATGCTCCAGCCATTTCAGGTATAATGCTCTGGCCATTGTGGCTACAACACTCCGGTTATTGAAGCCATCCTGCTCCGGTTATTGTAGCTATAATGCTCCGGTTATTTTGGCTACAATACTCTGGGTATTTCAGCCATAATACTCCAGCCACTGCAGCCACAATACTGCAGCTATTGCAGGTCTAACACTCCAGTTATTTCAGCCATAATACTCTGGCCACTGCAACCATGATATTACAGTTACTGCAGGTATAATGATTTGGTTACTGTAGCTACAATGCTCCAGTTATTTCAGCCACAATACTCCGGCCACTTCAGCCACAATACTGCAGCTATTGCAGGTCAAACACTCTGGTTATTTCAGCCACAATACTCTGGCCACTGCAACCACAATACTACAGTTACTGCAGGTATAATGCTCCAGTTATCTCACTCATAATACTCCGGCCACTGCAGCCACAATACTGCAATGATTGCAGCTATGGTGCTCCAGTTATTTCAGCTACAATGCTCCAGCCATTGCAACTATAATCTTCTGGCTATCCTAGCTATAATGCCCCAGTTATTTTAGCCACAGTAGTTCTTGCAGCTGTAATGCTCCGGTTGTCTTAGCTGCAATGATCTGGTCATTACAGTCACAATACTCTGGTTATTTCAGTAGCAATAGGCTGGTTAAATCAATGGAAGTGCTGCAGCTTTTATGGAAGCATTACACTAGTTATGCCAGTAGAAGCAGGCCGGTTATCTTGGCAGCAATGGTCCAGATATACCAGCAACAACAGTTTAGTTGTGTCATGAGGCCAGTTATTTCAGCAATGGCATAAAACAGTCTACTAATTCATGGATAAACTTCCAGCTATTCTGGAAGCAGACTCTACACTATTATATTGTACTACATGCAGATTTGTAGCATATCAGGCCGGTTTTCTATTAGTCCATCCAGTTTTGTGCAAGTGTACCACCCTACAAGCACATCTGTGGCATATCTGGACAGTCTGGTCTGGGTCTATGGGATACTCCGCTTGCTCATGCACTATTATACTACATTGTCACATATATAACACATCAGGCCGGTTTTTGTTCCATACATTACTCTGGTTAGACTTGCACTATCCTGACACACTACCACCATATCCGGCCTATCTAATCATGATCTACAATATACTCTGGCCACCTATCCACTATTAGACCACACCACACTCAACCCACATCAATAGCTCATGATGCTGGTCTTGTTTGTTCTGTACATCCATCCAGCCAATTGCAAGCCGTGGGTGATGCCTGGTGTGTCCTTATTGATGAGGAGAAGTGCAAATGGACCAACCATTCCTGGCAAAACCAACAGGTTGCCAAGAAGAAGGTCAAATGTGTCAACCCCAAACATGTGGTGAGCATGGTCAAGACCACATTCTCCCACAAAATTGATCCCTGTGTACATTTTACGCCCCTTAATTATTTCTCCATCTATTAACTTATCTACTACTAGGTTGCCAAGATTACTCAAAGAACTGGCTGCAGTGCCCTTTACCTTGTGACTTGTGACAAGGTTACCGACCAGTACTGGCCCTGCAGTTTTGCCTCCCCGCGCCTTGAGGCAGCCATTGCTGTACCTGTTCAAGCTCAATCCACAGGAACTGGCAATGCACTTCAACTTGTATGTCACTGGTGGCATCACCAGGCTGGCTTGCTATACCAGAGAGAGCAGTGCCAACATCATGAGAAAGTCAATCCGGGATATGGTATTGCAAAAACTTTGTAAGTGCCAGCAAATTTCTATTACTCAAATGCCATTACTAAGTATATTCTAGGAGGTCGTCATGCGGTGTCCCATACAACCAGCTCCCATCCATGATGGAGTGGGTGAATTACAACAAGTGGGCCATCCATTATGGAGTCAAGCTCCATGGCTTTCCAGGAGGTGTCATCAAAAGCCCAACCACCATCTCCACTGTCCCCTTGTTGGCCGAGGTCAAAGCTGCTTTGAGGGAGGGTCAATGCTTCTGGTGCAAGCTAGAGCCAGACAAATGGGAGGCCCAGAAGGCTGCAGGGGACAGGTGCATCCTTGTGCAATGGCCGTCAAGCAATGGAACCACAGGCAAGAGGAAGTGCACCTAGACAAATGACCCCACATCCATCCCTGCTACAGTGTTGGCCTTGATGCCACTGGCATTGACTCCACAGCCCCTACTGGCCCCCCAATTGGTGTGCTGTTGTCATTGCTGTTGTTGTTGTTGCCATTCTCAGATGGCCATGCATTGGACTACCAACCATCTGGACAGCTGGAGCTGGGCTTTGTCACCAGCGAGGCATTCAGTGCCAAGGCCCCCCCTGCTAAGTCTGGATCCTGGCTTCACATTGTATGACTCATTGGTATCTCATTTATATACACTCTCCCCTTCAATGTTGTTTTCCCCACTGACAGTGACTCCCAGTTCCAGTAATTATTTTTCAGACCTTCTTAACAATTAATATGTATTCTACCTTCTCATATTTCACTTTCTAGCATTATAGTCACTGTGTCTACAATATTTAGTCATAATATGATGTTATTTGCCAATCAACATGTGGATAAAGACTAATTGTAAGCTTTCATAAGTAAATTATAAGGACTTATTTGCAGGGTAATGGACTTAGCAGAAATTTTTATTGAGTGCCGTGTCAGCAGCAATCTTGGACTCCATGATACCCGGAATTTGGCTTCTTTGCTTCAGGGCCAAGTTAGTCCAGCGTGTGGGAATGTGGACTCATATTTTTATTACTGGTTTCAGCTTGTGACAATTCTATTTATTACTATAATAATGTATACATTAGTGATTATGGTGCGTGCAGGGAGGAGTACGTGGGGATGGGATAGAGGTGGGAGGTGGGACAGCGAATAGGGGCAGGATGGCGGGGTGAGATGGTGGGATGGAAACCACCAGAAAGCACTTTGCCAAGTGGCAGAGAATGAAGGGAGGGGCAGGAGGGCGGGAAAGAGGACTCCAGCATTGTTGGGCATAGGTAGCATTATTATCATGTCTTATCTAGGCACAAATTATTGAAGTAATCTAATCTAAGGGCCTGAAATGCTGTGGGAGACTGAGTCTCAGACATATACAGAAAAGGGATAGGCTGCACCAACAAACACCACCACACCCAAGTGCAACAGCAAGTGCTGGGCTAGAAGGGAAAAGAGGCTTCACAAGCCTCTTGCACTTAAAGTGCACAACAGGCTTCTGAAGCCTCTTCCCTGGTGACGGTCAGGTGCTCTTTGCCCCTACACTGTTGTAAGTACTGCCGTTTAGCTGCTGTGGCTTACCCAACTGGAAACATTGGTATTGATCTCAGCCTGGCTATTGCTGTTGGAGTGGTAACCCTCATTGTCTTCACTTTTACCTTCATCCTCTCCTTTGTCCAAGGTCACCATGTCTAGGCTTGGGTCCTGACACCACCACCATTCCTACCTGCTATTCCTCTGCATACACCAACTCACCTGACATTTTAACTGCTCCACTATGCCCTCAAAGCACAAATGAGATGCTCCTTTTGAGTGTTACTGTCAGTCACACCAATGTTACAGAAGGTGTAATAGGTATGGCTTACAGACCAAGTGGGTGGCTTGCCTCCACAAGCTCTAGGATGAGGTTATAACAATGCTGATGTCCTGGTTCCATACTTGGGGCCGCTCTTTCGAGCAATGTTCGACCTGCCCGTCTACCCAATGGCATGGAAGACGCACACCACTATTGTGCTGAGGAAGCCGGGGCAACCTGACTACTCTCAGCCAAAGGCCTATCGTCCAATTGCTCTCCTCAACACCATGGCGAAGATCCTGTCTTCATGCGTGGCAGAGAATCTGGTGTACCTTGCAGAAACGCATAACCTACTGCCCTCAACACACTTTGGTGGTAGGCCAGGTCGGACGACAACCGACTCTCTTCACATGTTCACAAAGTTTGTGCACGACGCATGGAACCACCCGACTGATCACTACGTGTCCGCACTCTTCCTTGATGTCAAGGGTGCGTTCCCGAGCGTCAATGTGGACCGCCTGCTCGCAAACCTCACGTGCCGCGGCATGCCTGGCGAGTACATTGCCTGGCTTCAACGGTGCCTGACGGGCCGCATGACCACCCTGGTCTTTGATGACTACGTCTCCCCAGCCTTCCTGGTGATCGATGGGCTCGACCAAGGTTGCCTGTTATCCCCCATACTCTACCTGTTTTACAATGCCAACCTGCTCGACCTCCCAGATCCTGAACGGGGGGAGCTCAGGCTATGGGGCTTTATCGATGATGTCTCATTTGTCGTGCGCAGCCTGAGCCCCGAGGCTGCCAATGAGAAGCTCTGACACATCATGGAGAGACCAGGAGGTGCCCTCGAGTGGGGCAGCACCCACACCTCCACCTTTGAGCTCAAGAAAACAGGCCTCCTGGTACTGACGCGCAAACACGTCCCCCACCCATCACAACCACGCGCCAGCGTCCCCACGCCACGGCCGTCTATCGCCATTGGTGGACAGGTCATCCAGCCATCCCCCTCGCACCGCTTCCTGGGTGTCATCATTGATGACCAGCTGCGTTGGCGGGAGCAGGCTGTCCACGCTCTCGTGAAAGGCATGACCTACGTCCTGGCGTGCCGCCAACTCACGATTGCTAGTAAGGGCATCCGGGCCCCCTTCATATGTAGACTCTACATTTCTGTTGTCATTCCTAAGTTACTTTATGCTGCTGACATCTGGGCCACCTCTTCACTTTCACAGGTTCAGGGTGGGCTATATGACAAGACGGCTACTGGGCAGGACCTCCATGACATCAAGAAGGCGCTGAGGCAGCTCCGGGGGGTGGCTCGACTGCTCGCGCGTGTGCAACGCGAGGCGGCACACCAGGTAACGGGCGGCATGGCGTCGACTGCGACAGACGTCCTGGATTTTCATGCCAATTTCCTCCCTTTCTCGCAGCTACTGCATCGGGTATGCGCACGAGCGGCCTTACGACTTGCGTCCCTAGCCAAGGGACACCCCCTCTACCCACTCGTGAGGCGGGCAGCCACTTTCCGCCGGCACCACTGCGCGCCCCTTCACACACTCCTGCACACCTTTGCCATCACCCCGGGCGAGATGGAGGCAATCACACCAGTCCGACGAGCGCCAACATGGATCCCCTCACACACGACCATCATCCCAAAATCCAAAGACGCGGCCAAGGAGTCCCACGACGAAGACTCGTCACTCATCCGGGTGTACTTGGATGGTTCCAGCCACGGGGGCAATGTTGGCGCAGGTGCCATCCTCATCCACGGCACCACCTCACATCACCTCCTTTTCCACCTCGGCCCTGCCACGCACCACACAGTCTACGAGGCAGAGCTGGTGGGACTGATCCTGGGCGCCCACCTACTCCGCCAGGAGATTTGCTGCCGAGACGGCTCCGCTTTCCTGGGGGCCAACAACCAGGCCGCCATACTTGCCACATCGGGCAGGGCCGCCTCCGCCAGCCACTACCTAGTCGACCATTTCATGCACATCACCACCGACCTCAAACCCCGGCACCACCCACTTATCCTCCGCTGGGTTCCTGGCCACACGGGGGTGGACAGGAACAAGGCCGCAGACGAGCCCGCGAAGATGGCGGCTCAGGGCCGCACAAGTGTGACCGCCATACTCCCCAGGTGCCTCGTGCGCCAAAAAACCAAGACTCACCCCGCACGCCCCCGCACACTCCCTCAGAGCCAGTCAGCAGCAAAGCAGACAATCAATGCAGCCATCTCTGACGCTGCTCGCGATGTTCTTGTTCACTCCCCTCGTGCGCTCATGTTTGCCGTGTACAATGACAAGTTACGGTACTCACAATTCATGAAACTCGTCGCCAGTACCCCTCGCTGCCTTGTGACAATCTTATTCCGCCTGCACTCGAATCACGTCCAATTAAACGGACACTGTGCAAGTTTGTGCCAGACCTCACGCCGACCTGCCCACACTGCATTGCCCGCGAGACTGTGGCACACTTTGCGTTGTGGTGCCCCCATTACCGGCCCCAACGCGAGCGCCTTGCCGCCATGTTCTGTGGGTCACGCCTCCCCAAACTTGCCCAGCTCCTCTCATCACCCAGTGCGGTGGAGCAGTTCCTCAAGTATGTCTTGTCAACCGCCCATTTTTAGCCCAACACGCCCTTGTCATGCCCACCCGAACCCAGGCCCAGCGCAAGCTAAGTTCATTCTCACGTACCCTCACGCACCACACCACGTCTCCCTTTTTCTCTTTTCTTTTCGTTTTCTCTCCTGTCTCTTTATCTCCGCATTCTCCCCTTCCCACCGAGCGATCATCTCCACGCCCCACACCTACCATGATACATGTCCCATCAGACAGCCCAACTTTAGATTTGCTCCCCCATGCCCCGTTATAGCTAATTCTACCCTAACATGTTCTAGCTTTATGCTTCCTTTACATATGTTTTACAGATTACTATACAACACCATCACATCCTCCATCCCTGCCCTTCAAGGACCACTGTCCTCCCTCTCTCTTCTCCATAGAAGGCCCGGAACCACTTACGAACACACCAGTAGTTTACCCTGTCTAACATAGGGCGGAGCCCTCAGATGACAATAAAACAGATTTCAAAAAAAAAATGGCTACTTGAACAATGAGAATAACAGCCTACTCATGCAAACATTCAAAATCCTTGCAGAAACTGAGAAGGGCCTCAACAACAACACTGATGATGGTCACAAGCCACCTGCCAATGATATTCTGGGTAATTTGCTGGACCATGAGCAATTGTATCAAGTGCTCAAGGACTTTAACTTCTCCAATACTGAAGACCTCAAGCTTCCCAGCCCAATAATTAGCCTGAAATGTTCGATGACCACACTTACATTTAGAACTTGTACATTGAGGCCTTCATCAGTGTGGTCTTGTACAGCAGCACACTGCAGAGTGTCCATTTCCAGTTTGGCTGCAAAAAGTATCTTTTTGAGATGATGTGTCACAATATCCCTGGTCTCAAATTAGCTGGCATTGGTGGCTTTGCATGCACCATGCCAGCAGTGCTCAAGTGCTTAGGTCTATCAACCTTTAACTTTATTGTCTACTTCTTTGTATGTCCAGTGTACTGGGTGACCCATTATCCCAATAAACTCTGTTCTTAATTCACCTAAGTGCCTTGACAAAGACTGCCCTGGACTAATTTACAGCATCAAGAAGCTTACCAATAGTTCCTTCAAGTGTACACTCAGCCTGATAGTGCTGTATGTTCCTCTCAAGCATGCATTGCAATATGTTCTGCTGTGTCCTGGCAAACAGGACCAGCTGCAACACTGGAGGAAGCTCAGCAATAAACCAGGTTGTTAATCACCACTTAAAGCCACTGGATACAACATGTTTGATGATCCAACAATGTTAATAATGGACATGTATGATTAATGGAGATGAAGGGTGATTCAAGCAGGGATGGAGTGGTGATAAAGTCAAGAGAGCTGGTAAAAAGTGGAGGATGTCAATATCCTTGAGTTTACTCAACAGTTTATGTTGCTCCCATGTAAGCTCAGTTTGCATTTTGACATTGACTGGTGAGCTGCTCATCAATTACTTCTCCTCCTTGTCTTATTTTTATACAGGTTTTAATCTGCAAACCATGATAATTGATTTACAAGTGCTTTCTATTCCATCACATGCAACAACCCCTGCAATATTTGTCATCTTCCTGAGGAAACCTTGCTACTCATGGTCATTCCTAGCTCAAATAAGCCCACTCTACTATAGCTCAACAATCTCTTGGATGTTTTTGTCACCAGCATGACACAACTTGGCAGTAACATCTAGTTTTCTGTTCATGGTTTCACCAACTGCATACTTGTTCATGTCTATCTCTGGCTAAACTGCTACAATCTCCTATCCACTCACAAGATCAAAGGCATGTCAAGCCACTCTTCCAAGTGTTTCATGTGCAATGAATACTATGCTACCACATACAAGCTTGCATCTCCCTCCTACTATAACCCTTTTTAATTCTACCTTGAGAAGACTGGCACCATCTCAAGTACACATTCATGGCTTATGCAGACTTTGAAAGCACTGATAAGATAAAAACTAAGCAAGGTGTTTCTTGGTCCTTGCTGAACTATTCACCAGGCGGGATGCCATTATGCAGCACACCCATGGAGTTCATGCATCCCTTTCTATTCCTCAGTTTTTCTTTGTGTTAACTTATCCCCCAACAGGTCTTGTCTGACATGTTAGTAATATAATCTTCTATAAATATAGTCTTCTCAAAGACAGTTGTCACCACAACCCTTGCAAGAAGCTCAAAGGCTTCCTGGACCAAGTCAGCTGGTCAGTTATAATTGAACATCCACCCCCAACTGTACATTATGTCTTTTCTTGTGTAGCCAAATGAATGACTTCTAATTAATATTTGCATTAGACTGTGCATGGAAAGGGCCATTCCAAAGCTGACCAATAGAGAAACTTTGTATCTGTCTTGTTTTTTGGGTTTTTTCTTGCCTGGAAGCAAGATGGTGAGGTATTCAACACAGATCCACTGCTATCTGTATCCAATACCAACAACCACAAGGCTCAAGCCAGGTATGAGAAGATTGTATGCTTGCAACTACAAGAAGGCCTTTTTGTCCAAAATTTGCATACTCCACTTGCATACTCCACTTGTTGTTCTGGACACACTTGATAACATTGCTCCTGACTGTAATCTCTGATGTCATTACATGGAAGAGCTGTGAAAAATCAACACACATGATAAATGGCATGCCTTTTCTGGCCAGAGTGTGCAGAGAGCAAGGTAACACTATCTCTTAGAATTCAACTGTCACCTTCTTCATTTTGCTCTCTGCACAGTGTGCCTGTTATGGTTCAGAACCTTGTATATTACTAATATGATATTCTGATAACTGTATTTGTATACACCTAGTGCGTAAGGTTCAAAAGAGGTCAAATCTCTTAGGTCTTGTTATTTTATCCTTTGTGATGTCAATTATTGATACAGACATAATCATGGGGAAGGACATGAGCACGGACATAAGTGTGAGCAAGGGCAATGAAGAAGGTGGGGTGAGAGAAAAGAGGAGAGGGAGAAGAGGGAGAGAGAAGTGCGTGTGTGGGGGTGAGCAAAGGGGAGAGGGAGAAGGAGGGAGGAGAGGGAGAGTAGCAGGACAGGAGCAGTGGGAGGGAGCAGTGAGATAGGAGCGTGGGAATGGGGTGTGGGAGACAGGAGAGACAGACAGGAGAGACGGCAAAAGGGGGATATCAGTGCTGACTCATGTACCTTACAATAGCTTGACAAAGAAAGTTGATGTACTGGCATGAACTCACATGGAATAGGGGGAGGAAGCCTCAGAAGGGCAGGTTTTACCCATGGTTTGAGGTACTTAGGGAATTGGAGAGAACAGGCAAAGTTATTCAAGTTATTTGAAAAGATAGCTGCAGGTATGGAAATTGATGGGAAGGGGCCTAAGAGGGCAGACTTGACCCAGGGTGTATGCAGGCCTTAATATGGTCTGTTGCCACGATGATGAGGTGCTACCTCCTCTGTTATGACCGCTAGAGTGTTGGCCACAATAGCTATAGTAACATGATAGGAATATTCAAGTGCTGCAGAGCTTGGATGTCAAGAAGGGAGCCTTAGTGTAGGCTGCAGCCTATGCTAAGGGTTCAGCAGACTTAGAGTGAAGTCTGAAGCACAATGGAACAGAAAAAAGTGTATAACCCAGAAGAGTAGAATGAGGAGTACAGGTGGGCTGGCAGCTATTTATATAGGCTAGAGACCAACTGTATGACTAAGCAGTACAGTAATAATAGTACACAAGAGAATTATGGGAGATGGGGATCAAGAGGTGCACATCATCAAAGGAGGTTGTACATGTGGAGGAAGATCCATGGGACAATCCAGGGATATTCTGTGGGGAAGCATATGGGGGAGATCTCTGTCTAAGCAGCCTATGGTAATGCATGATATAAATAGAGCCAAGTACAGAATAGTGTGAGGCAGTGTATCACGTGAAAGGAAAAGATAGGGGTAATGCAACAAACCATAACATCTCCCTTGAAGTTCCAAGCAGAGTGGAGCAGTGTGAGGATACCAGAAGCAGCAATGGTAACATGTTGCTTGGTAGACAAGTGGCCACTCTTAATACCTTGCAGAGCATCATCAATGAGTGCTGTGAATGGGATCTACATAACCCAGCCTACCCAAATTGCCTGGATAACCTTGGGAGAGTCAGGCAGAATGAAGCCACTCAACTGAATTAGGCCAGTGGAAAGGCAACAGGCACTGGCAGGAGCAGCCAGGGCAGGAGCAGCCAGGGCAGGAGCAGCCAGGGCAGGAGCAGGAGCAGGAGCAGGCAAGAGCAAGGGCAAAAATGCAGTTGTGTGTGCAGATGTACGATGCACAGGAGTGGAGGTACCCAGCATAGGAATGTGAGGACCATTGTGGAGGGGCAAGCTTGCAGGGAAGGAATAAGCACATGCCAGAAAGCAGGGTGTGAGAATGGAAGGGACAAGGAAGGCCTGGAGACCAACCTGGGAAACAAGAAAGAGAGGGATTTACCAGGAGCAGGTGCAAGTGGAGCTGCTGCAACCAAGGCAATGGTGCTGAGAGCCTGGCACTCAGCCAAGAAAGCAAGGTCCAGTATATCATCAAGTCCTGTGCTGAAGCAGGTGCAGGAGCATTCCAGCCAAGAAGCATGAACACAGGTGCCCAAGTCACCAGCAGGCCCTCATGCAAGACACAAGAATCTGAGATATCAGAGATGAAAGAGGCAGGAGCAGTGTTCAACCCCAGTAAAAATCAATCCGATTGTTAGCGACTCGCGGCGACTGAACTTTGCTAAAATCTGACTGAAAATGACTGTTAGTGACGGAGTGACACAAAACAACTATCTGCGCCAAAATTGGGACCACTTTCCGTTGTGGTCGGTCACTATAAGTTGGCACAGTTAGACCAGCTCGACACATGCACGTCAGAGCCAGTCAGAGTCCGACACCGCGCAGACAGACAGCAACATATAGCGACTGGCTATGACATATAGTGACTTACACAAACCATATATAGAATGTACCAATTCATGAATTGAATGTCAGACAGTTGATTTCAGTTGATTTCAGTCACTAACAATTGTTACACAAGCACAATAATGAATTTGGCAATCCGAAAATAGTACACACAACGACTTCTAATGACAGCAAACAATGACCAACGACTGATAGCAACAGCACATGAGCCGATCCAAAAGACCAGCCAGCATGCACCAGAATAGAAGCAAAAATGCTAAGTCCAGTGCAAGGGTAATACAAATGTACGAATCAAGACTTCCTGGAACGAGTCTTGTGGGGGGGAGGCACGCCAGCCTTAGTCGCCTCCTCAGCTGCCTTCTTCTCCCATTTCTGGAGACAGAATAAGATAGAATGAATTAATATCTGGCGAAGACGTACCTCCACCTCAGCAGGTATTTTTGAAACAAGTGCCCATTGGGCGCTGTAGAAAGCTTGAGATCTTCCTTCGCGCTGCTCTTGATCCTCGGCGACCCATTCTCGGACAAAAACCCACCTAAGCGCGATGAGTATATGACATAAATACAAAGAGAAAGTGCGTACTTTGCGGTATAGAACCCGGGGACTGAGAACTTGCTAGCCTTGCGATTCACAGTCGGCGATGTCTCCGAACTTGGGCTAGCAGAGGCAGACACCGGGCCCTGTGGATCTGGACCTACAACGTGGCTGTCCTCGGCTGATGCAGAGCCAACGACGCAATCCTCGGAAGAAGTAATTGGGTGGGGAAGAGCTTCTCCAGTGGCTTCCTCTGCAGGGCATGATTCGACGAGCGCTGGGTCGATGACGGCAGACGCACGAGATACAGAGGGCGATCTCGGACTAATAGAAAAATATCAACATAAGTACAGGTAACTGTAAAGATAGACTTACCCAATAGTTGAGTCATGGGTGGGCACCGAGACTCGAGCCCTATCATAAAATGTCAGACATGAAAATAAAGAACCAGAAGACACTCACAACGGGTCCAGATACAGCAGAGGAGCATGTCTCACAGTGCTTTCCCTGATCCCAGAATCCTGCGCATCTTCACGACACACTTCCATATCCACGCTAGCTGCATCCATCCACTCGCGCTCACCCTTGCCGTCTTCATGAGCTAGCTCGTGATCGCCTTCGAGTTGTGCCTCGGGTAGATCCCCGCCTTCCCCGCGCCTAGTCTCAGGCTCTGACCCTTGCTCTGACTCATCTCCGTTCATTTTGGCGTCTAGACCTGCTGGGGTCATCTTCTTCTTCGATCGCTTACAAAAAGGCTGAGCTTTGGCTGACTCAACGCACGCGTGTTTCTTGGCCCTCGGGTTAGTTGGGCGGCAGTTGGCGCGGTGCCATCGAGAGTAGAGCTCCTTGACGAGCTCATTGTACTTCCAATCACCTCCAGCTAGTCGGAACACCGGGCAGATGATTCAAAGCGCCTTCCAGATCCATCTCTTCATGTTGTAGTCCATACCCGTCCATACTGTTGGCAACCCTTTGACACCTAGCGCCTTTAGTAGAATATTAAAAATAGAATCTACCGTCCCATGGATCTCCCTCATCTCGCCGCCGGTCGTTTGTCGGCCCGGTCCTTGCTTGTTCACCTCGGGATCATGCCTCAGAGCAGCGCACTCCCTGTACAGCTTCACGTGTTTTGCCCATTTGGCTGCGGTCCACAAATCCGAGATGCCAGGGTAGTCCTCAAGCTTGAGTAGCATGAAAGGATCAGCGTAGTTGAGGAGGGATACGGGATCGGTGCCTTCAAGGATCTCCGGAAGATCGGGGAAAACTTGACCCTTTGCTTCCAGAGCAATAGCGCCCAGCGCCGATGGTGTGGAGGTCGCAGATGCGGGGGCGGCTGGGCCAGGGACCAATAGTTTACCCGATGAGAGCACGCCGGATAGCACGTCGAGGCATTGTCTCCAAAACCATACGTATCAGTGTGTGACATAAGTAATTAGTGGAAACTCACTGTAAGCCATTTGCTCTAGCACATTCTGTATCCCTCTGGTGCAAACCGCGTCTCGCTCTCGATTGGAAGTCTCAAGTGCCCGCTCGAGTTCCTCGCGCTCGGCTCGCCAGTCCTTTTGGGTATAAGGTGGTTCCTGGTACACGAGGTGCATCAAGACAAATTAGGATTATTGTGATCAAATGAACTTACCCCGTAATTACACCCAATGTGGCCTGGATACTCCGAGCCGAAGCAACCGTGGGTGACAGAAGCAGATCGGCTGATTTCATTAATCTCGGCAAGACCGACGCTCGAGAAACTGCTGTTCTCGGGCTGGTTGTACACGATCCTAGGCACAGTCAGAGCGAGGAAGGAGCAGAACAAGAACCAGAGGTAAGTCCAGACGCAATCACAGAGAGGATAAGGATCTTATCTCAATTTCCCACGATTCCCCTCATCTAGACGTGCGTGCATTGCGCGTCTTACCCTTGTGCTCTCATTTCCCTGGCAGCCCCTGACAGCAAAAAAAAACTGTCTCAACGTCTCGACAACTCATCCCCATTCGACAAACATGCCTCCTATCCCCCGCATCCCCGCGCATACGTTCATATTTCAAAAAATGATGGTTGGTCGCCCTCTTTGCGAGGGAGAAGGCACAGCAAGCCATGTGGCTCCGCACCAAAAAGGACAAGTACAAGGAGACATCATAGTCTCGGAGTTCGACTGCTCGCTGTCGACTGAGTACGCCTTCGAATTCATTCCAAAATCCCTTGAACCAATGGTGCATCATTGTTTCCTTTTCTGTGTTTCTTATATACTTAAATGTATGCGGCAGTACTTTGTTATAAAAGCTCGTCACTTGCACCCAACCCACTACCCCAAGTTCGACAGAACTTTGGGGCTCCTTTTGAACTCAGGCCAGACCCTTCACCATCTCCTCAACAAGGGTCCTCGTTTCCACTCCGCACCTCCCACTGACACCAGTACCGCAGCCGACATCAATATGTCAGCTGTCCTCGAGCCAGCTGGCAATGCGACCGGTCCACCCAGAGCCATCCAGCTAGCTAATGTTGACCTTGGATTGTGCGAAGATCTCGACATTACCTTTGTCGAGCCCTTCCCAGCAAGGTTAAGGGCAATAAACCACGCTAGCCACCCCCGCGCCGACAACCAAATTCCGGAGAAATATAGTCTCTATTGCCATTCCCTAACAGGCAAGCAACTCCCTGCAGCTCAATTCTCTCACAGCTACAAATGTATCAAGCTCAAGCCGGACATTGAAGACACGCCCCTGTCCATTTTTTGCAATTTCTTAGAGGTATTCTTTCTATTGGTCTGTATATGCACCTCTTAACTAACTATGTTACAGACCCCAGAAGCTGGCCTGAGCTTCTGTGCTGATGATACAACCCACGTCGAGCACAACAGCTCTCCCCTTTGTTTGCCTCTCGTGTCAACACCCCAGAGGGAGACCCGCCATCGGAGATGCAGCCAGATTCTCAGTGGGACGCAATGTAGGGGCATTCAACAGAAAAGCCAGCGGATGACACAGAGAGCATCCTTGGTAAGCATAAGGCCGATTGATTGTCTTCTCACATATACATTACTATCAGTTCTCTCGAATACACATTATTATTTGTTCTCGCTCTGCAGTGACAGTCATTACAGTGCATGTGTATAGTGATTGGGTTGTACTACAATAATACAATTCAATCACTCGTCCTCTGATATAACTTCCTCGTGCCCTGCGAAAGTGGCGATCTCCAGCCCAGGCTTCTCAACTAAGTAGCAAAGAAGACGATTGATCTGAGGAAATTTGTGCGGTATCATTGCGACAACGGATTTGATGGAAAAAGGATCAATCACAGTGAGTCGGCTGACTGCATGAGGGTGCTGGCATGCGACTACCGTGCCATGAGAGAGCATGAAGAGTTCTTGATCTAAGTCTCCATAGAGAGAGACTAGGGCATATGATCTGCTCTCGATGTAGAAATAGTACTGGACTTCGGCGAATTTGATCCGACCTTCCAGATCAATCTAATAATGCTTAGCTTACTGAAACTGCAGATCATTAGAAAGACGAGTGACTTTACCTTGACGTTGCGTGCAATCCTAGGCCAACGAATCATCTGATTTTCTTTCCATGCAGATCACGCCGTCGAGCCCAGTGGACGAGGCGAAAGTGGGTCAATGTCTCGACACCACGTTTGCTAAGTGCCTGTGATATAACATGGTGCTCTTCCGGAAGTATGTTGACAGGGCGCTGGTCTTTGGCACCTAAGAGAATGTATCCGCGCCCAAGATCCTTGGTGCCCCGAGGGAGAGGCTGATTTTGCGAGCGGTCTAAGAAAGGCCATATAAGAGATAATGCATTAGTCTGAGCTCGATCGATCACATGTTGCTCCAAGTTCGCGAACAGATTTGAATGGAGACGTATCTCGCGTCCCAGGCTACTGATAGCCCGTTCCATTGTCCACTGCGACGAACAGATGGGCGGTCCTTGTTGCAAGCCTCAGGAACGAGGTGCGTTAGAGCATGTAGCCATGGTTGAATAAAATGAAGGCGATTAATCTGTCGTTGGTAGTATAAACATTTGAAGCTGTCAACGAATGTTAGAATCTCATGGTGAGCTTCTTGCAGGTGTTCTGTTGAGATGTTGTGTTGCATCATTATTCGGATCCCCTTGACTAGACAGCAGAAGTGGCCGTAGTATGGCTTGGGTAGCACACCAAACAGTAGAGCTGGACACATGCCATAGAAATAAAGTAGAAATTCCCAAGCCTTGTATCCACTGCTGATTTTCTCAGCCGGGTTACGTGGCAGTCTGTCAAAAGATCCTGGCAGATACATGATAGCATATGCAATGTATTCACCGTGCTGATCCCAGATTTTGCCGGTAAGAACTGTCCAGCCCCAGTTGTCCTTTGAGTCAGGTGGTAGTGCACTCTCAGTTTTGTCGTCTAGTTTGAATGTACCCCTCCAGAGCGGTATCATTTTGTCAGTTATGTTGAATGCTGCCAGGTGCATAATATCAGACCCATAGCAATACGGCACAGCGAGAATGTGCTTGTCCGGAAAGCCAGAAAGTATACCGGGCCGAACAATCCCCGTGTCAAGACAGACCTGCTCGTACTTGGTGTTAGTTTGACGGTGTGCGATACGGGCCATGTTCTCGGTGTAGAGTGACTGTGCCTGTGTCATGGAATTGATATCGGTGTCGTCGTGCTGATAGCTGTGCTCGTGGTGACAAGAATTGCACTGACAAAAGCAAGGTTCGAGCAGGGCTGGATAATAAGTCGGCTGCCCGGGTTTGTGTCACCCTGTGAAGTTGCAGACAATCCTACAGCACTTCTTACTATTATGGCTGCCCATACCGTTGAGAAACGCAAGTCCTGGTCTGTCCGCGCAGGCTACAAATAAGAATGGATTTTGGAGACTCTCAGCTTGAAGATGGGCATCCCATATCTTGAGGCCCTTGCGTTGGATCACAGCGAGATGGTGGAACCCCGGGAATAGAAACAAATTGAGGTTCTTCAGCTTTTTTGGACCCAGAATGACGGCGCCTGGAATGACAAATTTCTTCTTGTATCGATTGCCCGGTGCGTGATTGTAGATGACCCAAATGTAGATCCAACAATCGGATTGCTTGGATTTGTATAGCTGGGCGCTGTTGATTGAAAACATTAGAACCGGATCACCTGGTTTGATACGACCTTCCTGTACTGCACGAAGATACTGAGCACCATGATATATATCTTCATACTTGTCGATCTTGCTGCATGCCTCCTCAAGAGCCTGAGTATCTTAGTCGTTTCTAGATCGCGGTAGGCCATTTTCTCAGCTTGTTCAGGATTCCGCCAGAGAGCCTGAAGCTGTGGTCCCACCGGCAGAGTAACGAACATCAAAATTGGCACCTTTTTCCTAGGGAACTTGGGATTATAACACGGTTTCTGGCAGAGGGGACAGTTCAACAGGTCTGCAAACGGACTGGTGAAGGCGAGACACGAATTGGGACACATGTGTACGTGGATCGGTTGAATACCCGTGAGTTCTTCAATGTGTTTCTTAATGGTGTTCATTGAATAGACCTTCTTTGTTGGATGTCGCCTAGTCTGCGCCTCGCAGAGAGCACGGTAGCCATCTTCTGTTGGAAATGTAAGATACCACTGGATGCACATTAGCATATCTGGATCCGCGAGCCCGTCGAGATCTTTCATCGGGTTGCGCATGCGACTGACAGCCTCACAGCTCATAGCATTATTTTCATCGTCCAGAGAGGCATTCCGAATGAGTTTAATGAAGGCGAGAGACCACTGAGCATGCCAAAGCACAGTCTCCCTAGATACAGTCTCTATGTCCCCGTCTGTCCAGCCTGACATGTGGTAGCCAAAGTCCTCGTGTGCCTGAGGCTCCTCAAGCTCTTCACTGACCAAGGGCTGCATTCTCGCGTGATCAGCCTCACTCAGAGCATGCTGAGACTCGCTCATATCTTGCTGGGTACTCGGATTATTGCCTAGATCCTGATGGTCACCTAGATCAGTGTCGAGAGCTGGCTGATCGCCCTCATCACAGCCAAGAGCCTGAGCATTTTCAAGATCCTCAGTAGTGTCGCCTAGATTGCCGCCGAGATCCAGAGGATTTTCGATAGTGTTGCCAGAGTTGCATAGCTCGTTGGTCTGCTCCAAAGCTTCCGGGGAGCGGCGTGCATCATAAGAGACCATATTAGTTGACTAAACGTGTGTTAGTAAACTGATCTGACATCTAATGAATAGATTCCTTACTTCGTTTAAGTCTGTACACCTCCTTTTGTTAGCTTGACTCTTGGCTTGCCATTCTACGAGTCTGCGAGCTGTTTCTGCCTCGTGTACAAGCCGTGCTTCTTCGATTCTCTTATGGTTTTGCTTCGTGTTCTTATTCATTTCCTTGATGGGCATACCAGGGATCGGGCAGCAGTACGTGCGACAGTCGCACTCGACTAGCTTACAAGTTTGTTTGCGGGGTGCCATTCTCTTGACTTCGGTTTAGGCTTACTTCGATCATGTGGTCGAGGCGGGATCGGCAGGGTCAGTTGATTTCATTAAAGGTTTACGCCATTGGGACATACACAGTTCATGTCGGAATTCGGCCTCAGATGTAGCCAATGCGCGCGGAAAATGGATCAGGCTACTGTACTGCACAGGCTTTGCCGATGTGCGGTGTGAGACAACAAGCAAAAACGTTCACAGGGCTATCAACCAGACATGACTCAAGGTATATCGTTGCTCTCAGTCCCTTTCAGTCACACGCCATCGGGCCTGTTGGTTTCAGTCACCGCGAGTCGCTAACAATCGGATCAATTTTCACTGGGGTTCAACATCTATGGCCAGAAGAAACAGACCCAATAGCAAGGCAAGGCAATGGGACAAAGGCAGAAGGGGGTGCAAACACTAAGGGATCCAAAGGAACCAGGAGGAATGGGTCTGAAGCACATTCCTTTCCCTTGATACACTTTGGTGGTAGAGTGACCAAGTCCAATTTAAAAGGCATGCAATGCCAAATAGAATTTGCCCCATCATGGTCTAATCCACCAAAGCTGGGAGGAGTGGTCAGAGCATGGTTGTTATCTGGAAGAAGGGAGCCACCCTCATCCTCACCCAAACTCACAGAGAGCAGGGGGATGGAGGGAGTGTTGTCTGCAGCCTCCATGATAACATTGTCATTCAGGAGCTTGTTGTGAACCTGAGCAGGGCTGGACTCCTCCAAGGAGGGGAGAGTCTTGCCAGAAGCATTTGGCTGAACCTCAAGAGATGCAGAAGGAGCAGACAGCACCAGAGAGGACCTGCAGCTGCCACGAGAGCCTGCAGAGACTGCCCTAGAAGTTGCCAAGGAGGTAGTGAGACAAAGAGGCATGGAAGAGAAAAGCAGAGATTGAATGAGCAAGTGAGGACACTGTTATGATCTGTTTACTTTTATCTCTGTATTCATATAAACATCTACTAGTATCAGCAACTGGACACTACTAGTAGATTCTACTTCATTATATCTGTTTCATTTGTAACATCTTTGACTCCTTATGAGTCATGATGGCTTAACTACAAATTGTGAGTCCTTACAACTCCTTTTTCACTAGCAACTCATTTCTTGGCTCCTTGGTTATATTGCAATTACCAATGTGAGTCCTTATGATATGCTCTTCACATCTCATGAGTCAATATGACTCATTCAACCTTCTTAGTAAGCAGCTAGTAGATAGGTATATAAACCCTCAGACTAGTTCTACCTCTATTACTATGTATGACTCAAACTTGATCTAAGATCATAGTCAAGGACTACATCACAAAAAGTGCGTGATAACTGTGAGTGTGGTGAACACTGTACAAATGCTATGGTTACAGTAATGCAAGGTGAGGTGTTATCAAGTGCTATAATATCAGGCTGCTTTCTGTCACACAACACAAGGGCTGACCAGAATATTACCTTTGTTGTAGAGAATTATAGTATTGGGAGGGATCTTGTAGTTGCTCACAGTATGTCTACACATTGTTGTAGGCTGATATAACATGATATAACATTAGATTCTTTCTTGTATTGTCACACCATAAGTACAGATTTCTGTAATGTAACACAGCTAGTTACAGGAAGGGCATGGCGGGTAGCTCTGAACCTCAATGCAGCATTCTGTTTGTCTCACGTACACCGGCACAATGACATGCCTGCACGGGGTAAGCGAGTGCATGTGCGGGTGCATGTGTGTGCATGTGTGCTTGTTATCTATTATACAGTATTCTGGCCCGGGTTTTGTGAGTGTTGTTGCAAATAGGACCGGGTGCATGCTACCTTTGGGCACAGCTGGGCTGCAGGCTGCTTTGCCTTGTTGCTCATGACCAACTTGTGGAGAAAATGCATGTACAGTAGCCAGTCCACCAAGTCAGTGAATTATTAATTAGGACTTGCGGGCTCAGAGGTGCCAGCACATGTCTATTTGGCTTTATTTGGTCAAGTGCTCAGAACTCCGCAATGATGCTCACCTATTGTTCCCACACATATATAGTCCATCAACTGTCCGATCACCCGTTGTTCGGACAGCTATTATAGGGTGTCCCCCACTGTAAAACACGGTCCAGTGGTCCGGACCAGAGGACTGGGTGAGATATCCCTTTGCCTTAGTCGAAAAATGACTTACCAGAGTATCTCCTATGTCATACGTTTTAGTCACTAGCCACGTCAGCGCGTTCTCGGCACCCCCGGCACCGGTAATATCCGTCCCTCCCTCGGCCCCATTCCCGAACCTTCTCCCGTTCCCATACAGCGGTGCCGCTTCCTCCCGCGGCGTCCAACACCCTCCCGTCGCTGTTCTCGACGATGCCCACGATATCTCGCCCATTCCTCCATCAAATTTCCCCGTTTTTTCTCTTGTTGAGCTTAGATAGGTAGTCTCATATGATATATTGTACTTTTACTAGGTATTTGTGAATACATGTTCCCCTTGTCGCGTCCCAGTAGCCTTGGTTGTTGCATAATCACCCAAAATGGGTATATCACTGCCACTGCAC